AAAGTGTGTCCACAAAGAACTACAAGAATTGAAATAGTCATGACTTTTGACTTTCAATTCCAACCAAGGACAGAGGATAATCTAATTTCAGTACTAAGTTATCTGTCTTGACTCTCATTATTGGTCTTTTCATCTTTGATATTGTCTACCCTTGGTTATTCCAATTAATTTGCTTTGTTATTCCAATAGTTTTGCTTTCTTTTTTCCCCCCATTAGATACTTTTTAAAACATTCTATTTTGTTGTTGTTGAGAATATACACAGCAAAACATATACCAATTCACCCATTTCTCCATGCACACTTCAGCAACATGGATGACGTTCTTCAAGTTGTGTAACCATTCCCACCCTATTTTCTGAGTTGTTCTTCCCTCCTTAATATAAATTCATTTCCCCCTAAGGTTCCTATCTAACCTTTTTAATTGCTGTTTTCACTTTTATCCCATATATATAGTTCTAAAAAGAGCATAATGCTGAAAGTATACATTTTTTACTAGTCAAGATAAGCTACTGTTTGATTTTAAGACGATGAAGGAATTTTTTTAACATGAGGAGGACAGGTAAGCATTCAGTAGAAGGAGGAAACCAGAACTCCTTGATCAAGTCCCATCCTTCCATGCTAATGCTTTGTATCTTTAAAGGTAATTTTTGTACTCTTATCAAGTCTACCATTGGTGGTTCAGTGGTAAAATTCTCACCTTCCATGTGGGAAGCCTGAGTTTGATTCCTGGCCAATGTACCTCATACATAGTCATACATAGCTTGAATTGTTCATGTTGCTATCATGCTGAACAAGTTTTAGCTGAGCTTCCAGACTAAAATGGACTTAGAAGAAAGAAGGGTTAGTGATCCATTGATGAAAAACCCCTATGGATCACGTTAGTCTGATCAACAACAGATCATGGAGATGGTGTAGAACAGGGCAGGAGTTCTTCTATTGCACACAGGGTCACACTGAGTTGAGGGCCGAGTCAAAGGCAGCTAACAACAACATACGGTCTATCAACACCTGAAGCAGGCCCAGAGCAAAGTTTGTGGAAAGTGTCCAACTCTGTTTGATTTTCCTTTTTGAATCTCTGCAGGCCTGGACAATGTTACAGAGAAGAAAAGATAATTTGCTTCACCCCTCTGTACTTGTAGTTCTTGGGCTAAACCACTTATAAGTGCACACAGAAATGAACAAAGGAGAACCAGGTTATAATTCACAGGAGAATTCCTTGAGGAGAGAGAATATATTTCTGTAGCCATAGTGTAGAAGTACCTGAGCAAAATTAGCCCTGTACTTTCCCAGATATGGTAAAATACTCTCCCGTTCTTTGAGCCATATTCCTCCAGGGCAAACCTGGTATCCCTTTCCAGGTTTTTAAGAGCCTGGTTACTGAATCCTGAGGAATTCTATTACAACTTCCACGAAGTCATCTCAAGGGAATTGAGATTTGGTGAAGGTTTTATTTAATGAATTCCTTTCAAATTTCCTTACAAGTTTAATTTTGTAAGGGCAGTGTCTTGTCTTGGCCTAAATAGTTTAATGCTTTCTGTCCACATTTAAATCAAATGGCAAGGATTTGGAAAAACAAACCCATGTAAACAAGCTTAGCTTTCATCCGGTAGCTGGAAAGATGAGTTGTGGTTCTTACCTGGGTTGGCATGTGGGATGTTTTGGCTGCTTCTGTAGGTGGTTGTAGACCAGAGATCTGCAATAACATTTGACTGGTCAGAACATGAATTTTAATCTAACTGTTCTCATTCTTTCCATGATCCAATCTAGGGATACTTTATATTCTAAGGTCAGAATCAAGGTAATGCTTTGTCCTTGGGCAGCCTGAATCTGCCCTGGAGGAGACATTGAAAAGGAAAAAATAAAAAGTAGATTTAACTCAAAAGACTAGCTGAAAAATCTGGGTAAAAACAACCTTTGTATTTTGCAGTTGTCAAAATAAGTATCTTCTACCAAAAAGCCATATTTCTTTACACTTCATTATTCTTATAATAATTCTCCTCCACTGTGCCAATCTTGAGGAGGTTACACTAATCCTTAAATAGAAAAGTAACATCATTTAACAATTTGCTTAAACTGCATTAAACATGATATGGAGGCAAATAGCATTAGCCTTCTGTCATTTTTTAAAAGTACACAATGGGTTATCCTTACTTACTCTTTGAGAATCAAACACACTTCAACATTCATTATTTATTAGACAATTTCTCTGAAGCCAGAGTTTAGAAGGGAGAGGAAGATTCTGTGAAGACAAATACAAAGCTTCTTTTGGAGAAGGAACCAGTGAAAGGAAAAAGCCAACTTTCATGAACGGGAAGAGATTAGAGAGGCTATAGGAATATCAATTTCTCTTAGAATGTTCTCTAATCTTCAATTAATTTATGATTCCTTTTGCCTTTGGTTCAATTTCTTGGACACAAACTCAAAACAGTTTTATGTTTTCTCTAGTTCTGGTGTGGTGCTGTGGGTTAATGCATTGGACTGCAAGGTCAGTTTGAACCACAACATTGGCAGTTCAAGCTCACCAGCTGTTTCTCAGAAATCATATACAGGGTCGTAGTGAGTTGGAACTGACTCAACGGCATTTAACAACAAAAACAATTATACATGGAGAACAAACAAGATGGCAGATTGGGTAGCAGTGCAATGACACATTGTGTCAGCAACAGCACAGAATACCGGACCGCGCAGACTCAGAGGATGGTGCCAGAACTTTGAACCACATATAAAGGAATATTTAGAAGGTTGGAAGGCTTACAGTTAGGGGAATTTGTAGCAGGAACAAGAAATCCAGTGCTTTCTAATCCAAGACTCTCAGTTGCTCCCAGAGTCACCATCTTGGGAGAGACCAAGTGGTGGTAAGGATCAGAGCAGCCACAGACACCTGACAGAACTGCAGATATAAAGGTGTGGACATTCTTTTTTTGGTATCTGTTCAGTGGTCTCTCGCTGTCTGCACACCTCCATTTAGGTGATTAGAGGGGTGTCTGAACGAGTGTATACCCCATTCCCACCCCCTGAGGGTTCTACTACGCATGTGCACAG